TTGGGATGAAATTAGAAGAGTCCACAATTTGCTGAGGAACTGGGCATGTGGTGTAAAATAATAGTCCAAGATGACTCCAGACTACTCTCTACCCTGAGTGCCTGCATGGGCAGAGTGGCCATTGCTGGGACAATGGTCATTAGCCCCAGTCTGCCCCTGTCTCTCCAGCACACCCGGGTGGTATTTGACAACCACACAGGGATCTTAAAGGAGATTGAGAACCGAGACCAGAAGCTTCTGTTACGGGTCCAGCAGACGTTCTTCTGGTGAGGAGTGGCCGCCATGGTTGGGAGGGTGTCGGTGAACAGAACTGGCCTTGACCCAATGCTCTTGCCTACACTTGCCTCAGGTACAATGCCAGCAGGAACTCGGGAGCCTATGTCTTTGCACCTGAACAATTGAATCCACTGCCCATCAGTTTCTCACCTGAGATACACCTGGTGAAGGTTGGAACCTGGGGCCATAAAGCAAGTGTACAAAGGGGATGTGGTGGGAGACCACACATCTGTAGGTGGGAAAGCCTGGTTGGTCTGTGTGGATGGTGCTAGGAGGTCTGAGGATCCCGGAGTGAGGAAGTTTTTCTTCTAAGTCCTGTGAATTTAATTATGGGTTTTACCCCTGTGGTTACTGTTTAAAGGGTAATCCCTAAGTTGTAAAATGTTAGCTATGGGAACAAGTAATTGGGGTTTTCCCCTTTGAGTTAAGTATGACAAATTATAGCTTGCACCAGAAAGAGCAGCATTCACATTCATAGCCCAAAAGGACTGTCTTAATAAAACCTAAACTAAACTCACTACCATCGAGCCTGTTCTGCTTAATATCTTGACCCTTTATAGGGTCTTTTAGACTATTAAACTTTACCAGAGCAGATAGCCTCCTCTGTTCTTTGGAACACATAGTGGGTTTGAACCACCAACCTTGGGATTAGCAGCAATATACCTAACCACCCCATACTACCACCACCTGTGCTGACACAAGACAGAGTAGGACCAACCCCTAGGATTTTCAAGGCTATACAGAGTTGCAGGTAGAGACAGGCTTATCTTTCTCCTGAGAATGACTGGTGTTTTGAACTGCTGACCTTTTGGTTGGTAGCCCAACTAATAATCCACTATAAAAACCAAACCAAACTCACTGCTATTGTGTTAATGCTGACTCACAGTGACCCGGCATGGCTTTCCGAGACTGTAACTTTTTATGGGAATCGAAAGCCCAGTCCCGTGGAGCCTCTGGTGGTTTCAAAATGCCAACCATGAAGACCTCAACCCAACGCATAAACACTACCCCACCAGGGGTCCTAATAATAATCCACTATAGGATCCTAATAATAATAATCCACTAGAGGATCCTTCAATATTTCAATTCCAGGCTTGAATTTGTTTCTTAAGCTTTTTGTTTTGTTTTGTTTTTGAGCTTAATATATAGTGAGCATGTTCTTCCCTTTCCGTTTTATAACTCCAGGTCTTTGAACATTTCACTATAATGCTTTATGTTGTCTTCTCAAGCTACCTTTCAAAATTCTCTATACAGTTCTTTGCATTTTTTCTTTCTTCTTTTTATTTTAGACAAAGAACGTGAGTTTTGTTTTGTTTTGTTTTTAATCGATTTTTTAGGAAACGTGAGGTTAAGAGCGGCTTTATTGGGGTAGGGAAAGAGCTCCCGGGAGGGAAGGGAGAGCAGAGAAAGGGACAGCAGCATCTTGAGCTCCCGGGCGGGTTCTGAGACCAAACGAGGTAGGTCAGGGAAATCACCACTTTTTTCTTTCATTCATTTAGCATCTCTATGTTCAAAAGCAAGTCCCAGAGTTTCTTCTGAGAATCACTTTGATCTTTTCTTTCTCTCGTCTTTTTAATGATTTTGTTTTCTTCATGTATGATGTCCTTAATGTTATCCAAGCTCCTTTGGTTTTGATCTTTAGTGGTCAGTGTGTCAAATCTGTTCTTGAGGCGGTCTCTACATCCAGGGGAGGCTGTGCTTAAAGTTCTGTTTTGGTTTTAACTTTCTTTCATTTCAACCTGAACTTGCATATGAACAACTAAGGGTCTGTTCTCAAGGCGGCCCCTGGCCTTAATTTGATTGGTGATATTAAACTTCTTCATAATTTCTTCCCACAAATGGAGTCCATTTGAGTCTTATGTATTCCATCTGGCAAAGTTCACACATAAATTCATTTTTTATGTTACTGAAAAAGGGTGTTGTAAGAAAGAAGTCTGTGCTCTTAAAAACAAAAAACAAAAAAACCTTGTGATCGCTAGCTACATCTCTGTCACCAAAGTCTGTTTTCCAATCAGTGATCCTTCCTGTTTGTTTCCAACCTTTGCATTCCAATCACCAGTAATTATCACTGAATCTGATTGCATGCTTGATCAGTTTCTGACTGAGAAAGTTGATACAATTCTTCAGTTTCTTAATCATTGACTTTAGTAGTTAGTATGTACATTTTATTTAAATAAGAGTGGTGATAACTGGTCCTCCTTGTAGGCATATAGATAATACCCTACCACATACATCATTGTACTTTAAGATAGATCTGGAAATATTTTTTTTAACGATGAATCTGAGGACCTTACTCTTTAATTTGTCACTCCCAACATGGTAAATCACATGATTGTCAGTTATATTTTCAGGGTCTTCCAACCTTTATTGGACCATATTTACATAGGGTCATTATCAGTCAGACCTGACTACAGCACCTGACAGCAACATTCCATGAGTACTAGAAACTGAGATCACTGGGGACACTGAGCATAGTCTAGCAAGATTGGGGTGGGCCCAACTTAGGGATGATTAGGAGGTGGATCTTATGGCAGAGTTTACAGGTGGGTAGAGTTTGCAGCTGAGGCAGAACGCGGTAGGGCTCAGCACTGCTAAAGCTATGGCTTACCACAGTCACCACCTGTCCCCCGTGCCAACAGACAGCCTTGGTGCAGGAGGTGCACCAGAAGTTCTCAGAATGGTGCTCCCAAGTGGTTCGTCTGTACCCAGGACAGAGGTACTTGGAGCTCGAGTGGACAGTGGGACCTATACCACTGTGAGTGTGCAATGGCTGGATGACAGGGAGGGCAAGGGAATGGGGGTCCTTGGGTGGGTTTAAGCCTCTTGCCATTCACTCAGGCTCAGGGATGAGTTTGGGAAGGAAATCATCAGTCGCTTTGACACAGAGCTGAAGACACGTGGACTTTTCTACACAGACAGCAACGGCCGGGAGATCTTGCAGAGAAGGTAAGGATGGGCAGGGACACTATTGAGCAGAAGGTGGTCTATGGCCTGCCTGAATCTACAGAGTGATAGGCGAGTGTGTGCGTGTCACGGGGGTGTTGGAGGAAGAGATGAGGAATTCGGGGATTCGATCACCAGCCCTGGCAGACTTCCTCCTCCTGACTGTAGGAGGGATTACCGGCCCACCTGGAACCTGAAGCGGACTGAGCCAGTGGCAGGAAATTACTACCCAGTCAACAGCCGCATTTACATCACGGTACCTTCAGACCCCCAGCCTGACCTCCACAGTGCATCTCATCCTCAAGTCTGTGTGCTCGTGCCCACCACCTCTGTGTCCTTCATGTGGGTAGGGCAGGCATGTAGGAATGCTTCTCACCGAGACACCCTCTCCCCAGGACGGGAACATGCAGCTGACAGTGCTGACTGACCGCTCCCAGGGAGGCAGCAGCCTGAAGGATGGATCGTTGGAGCTCATGGTGTGTGGATCCAAGTCCCATGCCAGGATCCTCCCACCGCGCCTTTGCTACAATCCCCCATCTGGCCTCAAACTAGCTTCCACTTACATCACCCCACCCACACGCTGCTCCTTGTCTACTCAGGTTGTCCAGCTAACCTGTGGCTTGTTCCCATGGGGGTACCTAGTTCCCCCCGTGATAGCGTTACTGATCTTTGAACCTTCTTTCTTTCTCTTCTGTCTGTCAGGTAAACCCCACAGGAAAAGATTTGTAAATTAAGATCTTTCTAAGCTGAACAGCCCCCATACCCATGCTGGGTCCTTTCCCTGGGTCCCTCATGATGTATTCCCTACCCAAGCCTCCCCGGGATTCATGGTGGTTCCGGGCCCCACCTCATCCCTTATCGTCTTTCTTGAAAGGTCTCCTCTATCTACTGGGTTTCCCTGTCAGGTTTTTACCCTCCGTCCCATGAGGTGCTGATTCCCCTGACTCTTATCCAGTCCTCCACTCAGGAATTTCTGCAGATGATCTTCTGGTCACCCCCTCTCCCAGGCTCTCTCTCATCTCTTCTCCGGTTGGTCTTCTGCCAGGTGCACCGCAGGTTGAACTCAGATGATCAAAAGGGTCTGGATGAACCACTGATGGAGACAGGCCCAAATGAGCAAGGTCTGTGTGTGCGAGGCAAACACCTGGTGCTGCTGGACAGGACCCAGATGGCTGCTGCTGGGCACCGACTGCTGGCAGAGAAGGTGGTCCTGGCCCCGCAGGTGGTGTTTTACACCAATGAAGACTCCCTCGGGCGCAGCGGAGGCATCCCACGCAGAAAGGTGAGGGATTTCAAGCAGGAAGGACTAGGGAGTGCGGGGGAGAGCAAGGACCAGTCCATGGTGGACACAGAGACAATGGGGTCCGTCTGTGGAGGGCTGAAACAAGGATGGTGTTGGGCAGCGGGTGGGATGGGCACAGCCCATTCCTGATTAGTTGCTCCATACCTGTACCCATGGCCCCCAACACTTCCTGGACGTGGTATTTTGTCCTGGCGTCATTCGAACACAAGGAGCCCAGATCCACAGCGACCTTGATGATTGGGGTTCCTTGATGGCACGGTGGTTGTGTCCAGTCCGTTCTGCTATCCTGCCCTTCCCTCCACGCACCCTCCCTTTGGCCGAGGACGCTCTCGGACTTAAAGCAATCAGACCTGCAGCTCCATCTCTGCCCTACCCTTCCCTCTGCCCACTTCTTGACCCTGGCATCTACACTGCCACACCGTGCACGGCCCACCTTACTGGCTGACCTCCTCCTCGGTGCTTCAGCCCTGTGCTGTCAGGGCTCAGCCCCACACCCCTCACCCCTACAAAGTGAGACATCCCCACAGTGGGCTCTGTACTGCACAGCACTCGGATCATGGGTGACACCCCAGCCCCAAAGCCCAGCCTGGATTTACACTTCTGGTCCAGCAAATTGGATCAGGCCACGCCCCTCTTCCTTTTAGGATCAGCACGGGCCCCAATGGCTGAGTCTCGGCCCTCCCTACCTGTGGCTCCCCTTTGCCCCATTGGTCCCGCCCCTTGCCTGATAGCCACCCCTCACCCCCCATCCCCGCATCCTTGCCAACAGTTCTCAGCACTTCACCAGGAGCTGCCACCCGCCGTGCGCCTGCTCACACTGGCCCAGTGGGGGCCCAGGAAGCTACTGCTGCGCTTAGAGCATCAGTTTGCTGTTGGGGAGGGCAACCTGAGCTCGCCCGTGACCTTAGACCTGAGGGTGAGCAGAGCACCAGCACGAAAGAGAAGAGTGGGGGGCAATCCCGCTGTGCCCCGTGCCCCGCTCAGCTGGCCCACCCACCCTCTGCAGGACCTGTTCTCCACCTTCACCATCACTCACCTGCAGGAGACCACGCTGGCGGCCAACCAGCCTCGGGACCGCGTCTCCAGGCTCCAGTGGACACTGAAAACGGGTGGGAGCCAGCGGTTGGGAGGATCCTGAAGGTCGAGAGGTTGCGTAGATGCCCAGAGGCGGGAGTAAAGCTTTGAGGGGGTGTCTCTGATGTGGATGTGGCAGAGGACCAGCTTCCTGCCAGGCTCAGCACCAGGGATTGTTCTGGGCTGAAGGCTCCAGAGAGGGTTTAAGGGTATGACATGCAGTCTAAGCTTGGGAGACACCATCCAGTCGAGAGACACCCACCTTCATCCCTTGTCTTCTTCTGTAACCACAGGCCCTGTCCTCCACGCCCTTAACTTCTCCCTGGATTCTGCTGCCGTCACGCTGCAGCCCATGGAGATCCGCACCTTCCTGGCCTCCATCAAATGGAAGCGGTCTCCACGTGCCTGGGACGCCGCTCTCAGAGCTGGTGCACCCTCCTCCCAGGGCTGGGTGAACTGCTGCCTCTCCATCCTCCTGTTGCTCTTGTAAACCAGAGCCATTAAATGAAATATAAGTATACATCTAACAAAGCATGTTGTCATACTTAGGGTTACTTGTGCCAACCTGGCCAATAGGAACCTGTGGGATTAATGAGGTCGCAGTTTGATTGGAGGGCAAAGAGAGAAATGGCTCTGCAAGGCCCGCCCCCTGGCTCGTGCTCTCTAGTGATCGGGTGCATGCTGGAGTGTGCTACTGCTTTAGCTAGTTCTCTGCCTCAACCTGTGATCTACCACCTGTGGGTCAGACCAACCCGTGGATTATGTTGCTAGAGCTTGAGGCTCCTTCCAGACTTGCTTTGCCACACTGCTGGTGTATATATCGCTTAAGCTTGAGGCTGGTGAATCTTGTCACCTTGCATTGCTTGTGTTCAATATCCCATCAGGGCCTGCTTCGCTAAACTCCTGAGCTACTTACTGCTTGCCTTGCCAGAGAGAGGACTCTGCTGTCTGCTTCCTTAACCTGGGACCCGGCAGCCCACATGAGTTGAAGGACTTCCAGTATATTACCTGTTCCACGGAAGTGAATTGAACCGAACCCTCTGTACTGCTGTGTGAACTAATTAGCTGTTATATTCCTTCTAGTGTATAAACCTATCTTCGTATATATGTATAAAATCATAAGTGTCCTGGTTCTGTTTCTCTAGAGAACTCTGCCTAACACAGGTATAGGATCTCTATCCTATGAATTACAAAACACTAATGGGAGAAATCATAGAGCAAGGTACACGGAGAGGCACGCTATGTTCATGAACTGGAAGGCTCAGAGTAGTACAGATGTCAACTATATCCAAACTCTGGTTGTTGTTCTTAGTGACCAGTGAGTCTGCAGTCTCTGTCTACGAGAGAATGAAACACCACTTAGTCCTGTGCCATTCTCACCATTGTTACAGCGACTGTCAATGCATCTCATCCAGGGCCTTTCTCTTTTCTGCTCTCTTGTGGTAGTTACATAATCTGGTGTCAACTTGTGGAGGGGCGGAGTCTAGCCTGTCAACCAGGTCCCATCTGGATGACCTCATTTGGTGGTGCCGCAGAGATAAATAGCTTGCTGGAGGCGGGACACACATACACTCCCTGTGAGACATTCATGTTGAGAAGACACATGGAAGCTACACTAGAGCCCTGGAGCTAAAGGAGCCACATGGAGAACCCTGCCAGCACTGAGATGCATCCACTGCCACAAGCACTGAGATGCTTCCACAAGACTTTCCACCCACTAACCTGTGATCTTCCTGCATTCGGTATCATTCCATGTGGTGCATGAGTCAAGCAGAATTTGTAGATTGGTATCGGACATATGGGCTAATATCAGAGCTATGGATTTGATCTGGGCTGGGCTGGGATGTTTTCTCAATATTCTATTGCTCTTGTATATAAAGCTCTTTCTTATACACATATGAGTGTCTAGGAATTTGTTTCTCTAGTGTATCCGGGCTAACACGCTGTACCTCCACTTTACCAAGCTAGCTGGTCTTCCTGATAACATGCCCAAAGTATGCAGGACAAAGTCTAGCCATCTTTGTCTCTAAGAGCAGTCTGTAATTCCTCCAAGACATATCTGTTTGTTCTCTTGAAAGAGAACTTTTAACATCATGGTTCAATGCATCCATTTTTCAATGGTCTTCCTTATTCATTGTCCAAATTTCACATGCATATGAAGTGATTGAAAATACCATGGCTTCTCATCAGGGAAAAGTATTTAACAATTCTTACATAGAACCCAAGAGGAGACTAGGCTTGGTACTATGTGACTAATTGTACACTTTGGACTTACTTTCTATCCAGCCCTTTTTGGCCTAGGCTGTGTACTATAAACCATTGGCATTTGTGTTAGTCTGGGTTGACTAGAGAAACAAATTTATAGACAGTCATTTGTATAAGAAACAGATTTATATAAAAAGTAATTGTATATTAAGAAAACATCCCAAGGGGAATGAACAACACAAAAGTAGGTAAAGGGAGACAGCGGATGATGTAAGACATGAAAATAATAATTTATCAAGGGTTCATGAGGGAGGGTGGGTGGAGCAGGAAGAGGAAAAATGAGGAGGTGATACCAAGGACTCAAGTATAAAGAAAATATTTTTAAAATGATGATGACAACATATGTACAAAAATGCTTGCTATAATGGATGGATGGATTGTGATAGAGCTATAAGAGCGCCAAATAAAATGATCCTTTTTTATTATTATTTTATTTATTTATTTCTAATCATTTTTTTAATCATTTTATTGGGGCTCATACAATTCATCACAATACCTACATCAATTGTATAAAGCACACTTATACATTTGTTGCCCTCATCCTCAAAATTCGCTTTCCTCTTGGGTTCCTGGAATTAGCTCATTTTCCTTTTTTAAAATGTTCTTTTAAAAAAAAGAAAGAAAGAAAATCTCAGTCCAGTTCAAGTCTGTAAGTCTGATATTAGCCCATCTGTCTGATATCAGTCTATAAATTCCTCTTCTGACTCACACAGCACATGCAACAATGCTGAATGCAGGGAAATCACAGGCCAGTGGGTGGAAAGTCTTGTGGATCCAGTGGTGGAAGCATCTCAGTGCTGGTGTGGGTCTCCACATGGCTCCTCCAGCTCCAGGGCTCTGGCTCCATCAGCACAGCTCCAGAAAACAGAAAGAAGAAGCAGAAAGAGTGGGTCTGGCCTCCAGTGAACTATTTATCTCCGTCATGCCTCCAAATGACGCCATCAAGCTGTGACCTGATTGACAGGCTAGACTCTACCCCTTCCTCAAATTGACTAGGTAACTGCCACAGCATTTAAGACTCTTTTGAGACACACAACATCCTTCAAAAGCCCACACTAGGGCTCTCTCAGTGTCTCTGCCATCCTGAGCGTGGTGTTGCTCCGACTTCACCATGTCGTCTCATAAGACTTTTAGGATCAAGAGATTCCTGGCCAAGAAACAGAAACAAAATCGGCCCATTCCCCAATGGATTCGAATGAAAACCAGTAATAAAATCAGGTACAACTCCAAGAGAAGACATTGGAGAAGAACCAAGCTTGGTCTGTAAGGAGCCCCCTGAGGGATGGCACGCATGACCGCATTTTCCCAGTCTCAAATCATGTTGTGTTGCATTAAGACTTTTGTCCCCATCTGATCAAATGATCTTTTATTGGCAAATCTGATTTATTCCTTGTTTTTTTTGCTTCCTCATCAAGTCTAACAATAAATAATGTAAGGCTGTTGGTTTGAAGAAAAAAAAAACCACACTAGGAGAATTTAATGTGGGAACCCTACTGCATGAAGTGGACTTGACCTCAAACTCACCTGTCGCCCTTGGACTAAAGGTTGAAATGTTCTTGTGTGAAGAGAAGCAGATGAGTATCTGGTGGTAGTTGGACTTTGGTTCTGATCTCTTACCTTGAGGATGCCCCAGGAATGGCAGTCTGGGACTACGATGGAGTTACTTGTTTACATCATTATGTCGTGTTTTAATCTGGTAGGCATGGTGCTGCCATTGTGAATGAATGTTATTGAAAGTTTTGCCCTAACACTAACCCCCATTATTTGTGTAAACAGTGTCCAGACACTTAAGAGTTAAATCTGTATAAGACAACTTATGTAATATGGTTCATACCTTGTCCATATTTGTATAATGTCCTTTTCACAACATTTTTTTAATTACATACCATTGGCTAAATTAATGAGACTCTCAGTAGAATTACCTTTTGCCTCAGGGGGGTGATTGATAATGTTCTCTAACGTAAAATGACAATGAGGTCTCTAAAGTGAACCTAAGACTATATGAAACATAGAAATATGAATGGATTGGGAGCTTGTGCTTAATTCTAGCCCCAGTCTTAGAACATGACATGGCCTTACTTTTTTTTTAATCATTTTATTGGGGGCTCGTACAACTCTTATCACAATTCAGACATACATCCATTGTGTCAAGCACATTTGTACATATGTTGCCATCATCATTCTCAAAACATTTGCTTTCTACTTGAGTCTTTGGTATCAGCTCCTCATTTTTTCCCCTCCCTTCCAGTTCTCCCCTCCCCCAACATGACCCTACTTGATACCCACCCTCAATGAAGACATCACTGAAGATATGGGTGCTATAGCAGTGTGGTGAAGAAACTAGATGGCTTCGGGCTATCAGAAAGAATAGTATTTGACATCTTAAAAGGCTTGTCTTCAAACAAGCAGTCATGTAAGTGCGGAGTCAACTAAGTCCACGTGGAAGAAGCACATCATCAGCCTATGTGATCCAAAGATTGTTCATAATAAAATCCAAATCTAAAGGATTCTAGGACTTCTCTTCCTCGCTGGAGGCAGGACACTCTCTCTCTCTGCTTCTCTTTCCTGTTGACAAGCCGCATGGAGCCACACTGACGGCACCCAGAGCCCTAGAGATGCGTCCACTGCCATTGGACCCAGAGGACTTTCCACCCACTGGCTTGTGATCTTCCTGCACTGGGCATCATTGCATGTGCTGTGTGAGTCTAAAGAGGAATTCTTGGGCTAATATCGAACTATGGGCTAATATTGAACTTATGGACTTGATCTGGACTGGGCTGGGATGTTTTATTGATGCATGATTACTTCTCTTTTTAAAACTAATCATTTTATTGGGAGGGCTTTTCTAAATCTTTTGACAATCCAGCATTCGATTGTAATAAGCACACTTGTACATATGTTGCCATCAACATTTCCAAAACGTTTTCTTTCTACTTGAGCCTTTGGTATCAGCTCCTCTTTTTCCCTCTCCCTACCCCACTCACCCCCCAACCTTGTGAATCCTGGATCAGTTTTATATTATTCTTGTTATTTCGTGTCTTACACTGTCCGTTGTATTCCTTCACCCACATTTCTGTTATTCGTCCCCCTGTGGGATGGGCTACATATGCAATCTTGTGATGGGTTCCCCCTTCCTCCTCCTCCACCGCTGTGCCCCCACCCTCCCCCTACCCTCATGATATCGCTACTCTCACTACTGTCCCTAAGGGTTTCATTGGTCCTGAA